CTATATTACGGACACCTCTATATTACGGACACCTCTATATTACGGACACCTCTATATTACGGACACCTCTATATTACGGACACCTCTATATTACGAACAGATACTTCGATCCTGGCAAAATTACCATACATTCTTTGTTTCATAGACCTGACCTCCATACTAATGATTAAGGAAACCTCTATATTACGAACACTCTTTTCTAGCCATTTGGTGTCCGTATTATAGAGGTTCCACTAGCTGTTAGGCTGGATGGACAGAAGGATGATTCCAGCTCTTAATGGGAAAAAAAAACACTATATTTCATACAAATATAGACCTATGTCTTACCACTGGCATTAGTTGTAGCACTGACGATATCCGAGAAAGGCCCATCTCCAGCAGAAGTAAAAGCCATCACTTTGAAGTAATATGTAGTTGATGGAAGAAGGTTAATGATTTCTTTGCTGAACTGGATGCTGGAAACAGCAGCAGCCTCTGTAAACCCTGATTTGGTTTTGACACTGCAAGAAGAAGAAACAAAGAAATAGACCTCACGCGGGTTGCGACCATGTTGGCTATCTTTGGACAAACACGTGTACTCCTGGGCCAAAAGTGAAGCTCATAATATTATACATTAAATAGGGTCTGGAAGGGTATTTAAGGGAGGTTGGAAACGAATAAAGTATAGCGCGGGATCCAGGAAACTAGAAAAAATCTTACGTGATTTGGGATGGCATCGGCCGTGAATCGGGAATTGACTAATTCAGTGTCTGGGATGTGGTGTTTTCCCCCCTGATTTTTGATCTTCGCGGGAAGTGGTATTTGGGGGAAAATTGTGCGTGATTCGGGGTCCGGATACCCCTTCCAGACTCTGATTACACCAAACGTTTTCCATAATGGTAAACGAACTTTCTCTTGACGACTCTTTCTGAAAATCAAGTTTTTAAAATTCATTTTCTTTCTTCTTTTTTAAAAGTAATGCTCGTTGTGTGAGGATCAAGCCTGAGCGTAAGCCTAATCTTACCTTTTAAACACTTTAAAGCCAGTGATATACAGCGAAGACTCCAGCGGTGGCTGCCAGCTTACAAATACAGATGTTGGGCTTTGTGCTTCGGCCTTGACTCCTAGCGGTGTGATATCTTTTTCAACAAAGTACGAGAAAATATCGTTAAAATTGACTTGACTATAAGAGCTAGTGATTTTCCAGTTCAGTTAGCTTTGCCCTGACTTAGATCAGCCCAAAGGTTGTTTCAGGGTTCGATCTGTGAGTTAGCCGTGCCCTGACTTTGATCAGCCCTGAGGTTGTTTCAGGGTTCGATCTGTGAGTTAGCCGTGCCCTGCCTTTGATCAGCCCAGAGGTTGTTTCAGGGCCCGATCTGTGAGTTAGCCGTGCCCTGACTTAGATCAGTCCAGAGGTTTTCAAAGATTTTGTGGTGTATGGTGTCTTACCTTTAGATACCGACACAATTTGTTTCTTCTTAGCAGAGCCAACCATGTTCGAGACCTTCACATCAACGTCATATCTAAAGACGAAAAAAAAGCTTTAAGGACAAACATCTCGCACTCACGTGTCCCTATAAACAAGTGATACAAAAATCATTACGTAGAAGACGAGTAAGGCGAGCCCGGCTAAGGACACGTGACGTACCTGTTTATACAATATTTTTAGCCATTATTAGGAAATGCGCCAGTTTTTTTTTTTTGGAGCAAATCAGTGTGCACATTATGTCTAAAAGGGGCCTTCCCCCTGGTTGAGTTGAAAGGCGCGGAAACACGGTGCAACATTGCACGCAACAAATTTGAATCGGGGTGACACACGTTGCAACAAAATCACGCAAAATCGCTTGTGTCAGCCTGCTATGCTAAGACATTTGGTCAGCGGGTATGGATTTGGTGCAAGGTGATTGGCTGGAAATTTCAAAATGTTGCACGCAATGTTGCAAGAGTATAGTGCGATTCAACTTTAGATTCGTTGCATGCAATGTTGCGTGCAAAAGGTTCCAGGGGTAGACACACGAGGCAACAGTCATTTTGCGTGCAATGTTGCACCGTGTATCCACCAGCTTCCCGGTTTTGCGCCGACGGTATTTTGTATTTTGAGGTCTAAACACCATTTTCTTTGAAATTATGAAGCCCAATTTCTCTAAATCATTTAGAATTTCTAAGCCAATTTTTTTAATTTACAACGCAATTAACAAAAACAATTTTAATCAATTTTATTAATATATTTACTTCAACTTACCAGGGGTTATGCGCCTTTTCAAATTTTGCATGAAAATCTATGTCATGTATGTTTTAGGATTGAATGAGAAAAACTACATAGCTGATTTTGATCAGTTTTTCCACTTTATATCCCTAGATCAAGCTGCTATACTTACGATATCGACTTGTTGAAGCTATGGATAAAAATTGCTTGGAATCCTTTCTGCATGCTCTTTCCATTAACAAACCATTCATACGTTAGATGGCCGGCGGATTCCTGCAAAATCATGCATAATTAGAAACTCCATATGTATCGAGAGTAAGGATTAGGCGTCGGGATGTACAGACCCCTTGCATGTGACGTCAATGTGGCTAAATTTGGAAGAACAAAACAAAAGAATTTCATTCTCCTGAGAATTGGAAATCTATTGTTATGTCCTCCAGATTGAGCTGCATTCCGACGAGCTGCAAGGGGTCTATAGCAGACTATTTTTGGTGAGAAGGATCAAGAGAGCATAATTAAGATAGGGATACTTGTTAATAACGCGCGCGCCATGTAAATTCCCGGTTTGGCTATTTTTAGTAACCGGATGCACTTTAAATTTCGACTTACCTTGCGTGCTTTATCAACTTGCGCGCAYGCACTCTTTTCTTTTATTGTTTTGATCGTTAAAAACGAAACGGAAAGAGCGCGCACGCAAATTGATGACGCACGGGAGAAGAGTAAAGCGAAATTTAAACTGCATCCGGTTACCAAAAATAGCCCAACCGGGAATTTACACGGCGCTCGCGTTATTAAGAAGTAACCCTCTCTTATTTATGCTTTCTGGGAAGGATTTAGTGAGTTCGCGTTCCTTTACGCGCATTAATCGCCTTCCTATATTCCATTGCGAATAGGAAGAGTAAATCTAAATGACGACTGAGTACGAGTCTAGATCGGTATATATTGAAAGAACGGATATGGCGACTGTTCAATTCAACCAATCACAGCGCTTGATGTAACAGACTTACTCGTGTTAAACCAACAAGATTAGCCAAGAAGGTGATGGGTTGAACGACTGTTGGGTCTACTGGGCTGAAGGTCACGACCACGTTGGATGGTTGAAGCGTTTCTGGAAAAATAAATGTTAGAAATTAAGAGTGATCTGTCTTTTCTTCCTTATATTCTTACTGCTGATTTTGGTTTCTTTTAATGGTGTCATCGTTTCTTATTCTTTCCTTGCCGTTTCTTTGTTCATTCTTTGATTTTTCCTTTATGCAGTCAGTCAGTCAGTCAGTCAGCGCGTCAGTCAGTCAGTCAGTCAACCAGTCAGTCAGCCAGTCAGTCGGTCAGTCAGTCAGCGCGTCAGTCAGCCAGTCAGTCAGTCAACGCGTCAGTCGATTGATCAGTCGGTAAATCGGTCGGTCAGTCGGTCGTTTAGTCGATCATTCAGTCGTTCCGCCAGTTGGTAAGTCAGTCAGTCACTTGGTAGGTCGGTTGGTTAGTAAGTCAGTTGGTCGGTAGGGCAGTCACTCGGTCGGTCATTCGTTTAATCAGTCAGTCAACAACCGTCATCCATACCTTCAACATAGACTTCAACTCTTGCTATGAGAATACTTTTTGTGTTAGTGGCAGTCACAACTACAACATAATGTCCAGACCTACAAAGAGAACCGAAAAAAAAAGAAGAAAATGATCTCTTAAAATGACATGCTATGTTGCGCTTGCTGGTAAATCTCTTGGAAGGGACTGTTCTGAAGGGAAAGTGCAGAGATATCCAAGGAACTAGAGAGAGCTAAGAGAAAGTAGGTGGAGGTGGAAAGAAGATGAGAGGAGAAGAATGGGGAGGATTAAAAGGGAGAGAGATTACTAAAATAAAATTTATGACCATTAATAACGAAAATATCTTAATGCATTATGTAAACAATATGCTGTCTTACGTTTTAAACTTGTGAGTAACAACAGCAGCATTCTTTCCTATTCCGGTAGAGCTTGTATCATCTCCAAAGTCCCACCTAATGATCGACAGTAATAGCGAGGAAGAAAACTGTTAACGAGAGATGCTAAAACTACAGGAAGCCAAGCCAACGATTATTGAATTCACTTTGATTTAGTCTCTCAATCTCCTTTCTGTATTTAATGCAATCTGTAGAACTACTCATATGTTGAAATATATATAATATATATTTTAAGGGAAATAGGAAATGTAAAACACCTATGAAAAGTTAATTTTACCCACTCCCCAAACTCAGTTGAAATTTGTTATCGTGTAGAAATTATTTGAGTAATACTAATGACAGAGGTATTTATTTGGTCCTTCAGATCTTAAATGGAGGACAAAAATGTAATTCCCTCCCCTCCCCCCTCCCCCTAAAAATGATTTGCCACTAGGCACTAAGTAGTTTATTACAGGAAAAATGGTTCTGAGGACATGGTTTACCTGAAGTTGATGTTTGGTAGATATGCTGTCTTGGTAAAAGATGCATTAAAGGTGACGGCGGTGTTTGGTGCCACGCCTAATGGCTTTTTGGACGGTGAGGTGGAAACAACTAGACCAGACAAGTCTAGGATAGAACGGCACAAAAAAATGTCAGATTAAAGGAAGGGCCACATATAGGAAAACAAGCCTTCTAGATCGCTATTCTTCCTACGACTTCAAGGTAAGTTGTAGTGCTAAAAGTCCACAGTGAAGAATGTTCCAAGCAATATAACCCTTACATCTGGGTTGCTTTCCATCTACCCAAAAAAAAAAAATTCTGTTTGGAAAACCAAATGGTGTGTGTTATTTCGATCAGAAATTTCCACAAGACCCAGTCTTCGGATTGAGGTCATTCACTTTTCCCGCTCTTTTCGGTTCTTTTGGTAGACGCGTGTACCATTTGTCGTAAGTCAAAGTTTCCCGCTCTTTTTGGTTCTTCCGGTAGACGTGTGTACCATTTGTCGTAAGTCAAAGTTTCCCGCTCTTTTCGGTTCTTCCGGTAGACGTGTGTACCATTTGTCGTAAG